GTAAAATAAAATGTATACTTTATAATAATATTTAGCCTCCGTTTGGGAAGTGGGTTGGCTTTTTGGCTTTTTAGCCTGGGCTATTTTAGCCTGGTTTGGGAAGGGCTTTTTGACTTTTTGGCTTTTTTGGCTTTTTTGTGAGAGATGATTGTAATGATTATGGGTTGGATTTGATGTTTTGTTTTTTGTGGCTAAAATAGCCTATTTTGTTTTTTGTGGCTATTTTAGCCAAAAAAGCCTGGGCTTTTTCTTGCCAAACGGAGGCTAAATATTATTATAAAGTATACATTTTATTTTACCTATCAACTGTTTCATTTTTCTATTCCAACATACTCTTTATTTTAACTATTCATCTAAATATTATTGATTTATAGAATGCCACATCAGCAACAAAGATGAAAGGAAATGATTCTAAGTATCTCCAAGGAGTTAGTTAAAAAAAACTTGTTAAGCGTTTTAGCCAATATAACTCTAATTTTGGGCTCCAATGGGCTGGCTACTTTACCATCCTACCTTTTTGCTAGCTACAATTAAAGAGTCCCATAAGCTCTCCAAACAAATCCGTATGTATATGTCTAGGATTTTTGTATATTTATGTCTTGGATTTGAAATTTTATATATTTTATATATGTATATGTGCATGCAGCAATTTTATATGTTCTTTTAATTCTGCTTAATGAATTATGGAATAACTTATTTTGTATTTTGTATTTTTTGTTTCTCCTCATTCTACAGGTTTTGTATGCTTATATGGGCAAACTTATTATTATTACAAATTTACATTAGTAAAATATTAACAATTAGTATTTTTTGTTTGAAAAATTAATTAAGTTAGTTTGAATGATTAATTAAAATAAAGAGTGTGGTTGAAGAACAAAATACATAAAGTAATTAAATAAAATAAAGAGTGTACTTTTTTCGTACTTTAGTTAGTAAAAAGTAGAGAATGTGGTTGGAGTTAGTATATTTTGCCTAACCTTGAAGGCTAGCTGCATGTAGTTAGTAAATGTGAGTTTAGCTAAAATGTCTAATCAAATGCCTAATGCATTGGAGTTGAAAAAAGTGAGTCATATTAGGCATTTTGACTAACAAATATTATATGCCTAGTAGATTGGAGATGCTAATTATTTAAAAACTAGAGAATGAGTGTTTTTAATTTTTATTTTCTGATTATCAACTTTTAACTTAAGAAAAACTCCACCAATAAGCCTAGAGTCTTGGTCACCAAAGCAAATTCAATTTTCTTGGCCCTATTTTATTGTTATTATTTATAATTAATCAGCAATTCTAACAAATATTTTTCAACAATAAAAAACAAAAACAGAGAATTTGTTTTTTATTTTTTTGAGTAACAACTGAAGCGCCACCTCTTTCGACCCCTTCAAGTCGTTAAAATCAACTCCACTCTCCCTCCCTCCCTCTATATATATATACCCCAGATGTTGGATGCGTGTGAAAGCAAATTGAGAAATATTACTTTGATCTTTCTGTATAAGCTTATAAGTTATACTACTTAGTGATCTATGAAGTCTCCAACTCTGGTTTTCCTTTTCTTTGCTCTTGCTCTAGTGACAGTGGAATGCAACTCAGAAGGTATCAAATTTAATATCATGCAACTTTGTTTTCCTTTCAAAATTTACTCAAATCACCTTGTTTGATCTTTTATGTTGTGTTTGATTTTGTATTCGCGGAGAAAAAGGAAAATGAGAGGAACATTTGAGGGGAAAAAAAATATACTTCATTTTTTTTTCTTGGGGGTGCACAAATCTTTCTCCAATTTAATATTCAAACCAAGTCTTATAGCTTTATTTATTTATATTTTTGAGATTCTAATTAGATTATTTGATATAACTTCTAGTTACAAATTATGAGGTAAAATAATGTAAGTAAGTTTAAAAAAGAACCCAAATTATCTTTGACGTTGGAGGAAGAATAGTTTTAGATTTGGGTAAATGACCATTGCTTCTTCTGAAATTAAAAAAAAAAAAAAATGCAGTTAGTCCTATACTTTAAACATATTTATACTAACATCCCTTTTGGTAAGTTTAAAATGATCAACACTAGTACAAATAGTGTGCAAACACTGAAAAAAACAAAATCAAATATATATTTTCTTATAAAAAGAGAGGCTAATATTTTTTTTATCCATAGAATTAACAAATTATTGATGAAAAAAGGCAAAAATGTTATGCGAATTAAAATATTGAAGGAAACTAGTGTAATTATGTCAAAATTGTAGAATTAATTGTATTTTCTCTGAACGTCAAAAGAGGTGAGTGTAATTTATCATTTAGATTGTGTTTATAGATTATTAACTTACAATTAAATTTAAGAATAAGGCGCGGCAAACAAATCCAATATTTGGGAAAAAGGAAATTCTATGATAAACATCTTTTTTGGAGTGTGTACCATATGCCTTTAATTGCAATATTTGTAGTTTTTAGTTATGATCTATTGGGGTGTTGATTATAACTTTATAATATATAAATATTGTGATGTTAATTATAATTCATTGTTATGTTGGTGATGACATTATTTTGATTATGATTCAAAAAAAAAAAAATTTGTTATACTTTATGTTGTGCAACTCTTTTTTTTTTTAAAACTATGACTAATAAATGATTTAATTATGATATTTGTATTAATCAAATCTATAAATATTGTAACATGCTTATAATAGGTACTATAATATGACCCTTGGAAAAAACTTAATTGCAAACGTGATATTATGTTATCATTAACATATGTCAGTATTAACCTATGAAATCTCCAGCCAATAATAAAATGCCAAATCGAATGGCTGAATCCCATTATGTAAAGAATAATGCTATATGTACTAATTAGTGTACACACTAGTGTACCAACAGATGATGCGATATAATTTTAGAAGTTTTGGATATTTGTAATTTGTATAATAACTAGGGTCATTAATGATATCATAACACTAATTGGTACACTATTGTATACGGGAAATTTTATTTCCACACACTTACCTACTTCTCTGCACACACTTAATAATTTATTTTTTTATTACAGTTTTGTCCTAAAATAAAATTACTAAAGTGTCCTTATCTTCTCCACCAAAATCCTAATTTCTTCATCTCCTCTCATCGTTCGAAGCTCAGAATCCATGGCAGTCACACTGATCTCCATCTCCTAACTTATACACCTCCCTCTCTCTATTATATATATTATGCCTTATGTTGTTCTCATCATCTACACTATATTACTACTCTGTTCCACACCTGAGCAACCATTCCTTACATTCTTCAATCAACATCATCGTCAAACTTCCAAATCTTCACCTCTAATCTTCAAGAATCGGAGCTTCAATTTCCTGATTTCCGAACTCGAACTCCCAACGCTAATCACCAATCACAACCTCTCACACTCTTACTCTTTCCACAAGATCAACTTCTTACACTGGCTTCGTCACAATCAAATCCTAAGTGTCCGATTCAAACCCTAGTTTCTTCAATGAACTTCTTGGCCTTGTATAACAGAGTTTCTGCAATGTTATACATAACGAAAATTCTTTTCAAGACCAAAGCAGGGGAGAAGAAACAACACTTACAAATGGGCTTTGGTTTAGGTTTCAATGTCAAAGAGAGGGATAATTTTGGCAAAAAAGAGTGTGCATTGAGTAAAATCACAAAATTCAAAATTAGTTGGTATGTGTATTAAGAGAGGATGTGGAATGAGATGTTTTGGTGTGTGGAAATAGAATTACCCATTGTATACACTAATTGGTGCATGTAACACCACTGTTATGCAAATGCAAAATATTTGTTAAAAATCCAAAGCAAGCCTTTACATTTTGCTTATGTTTCATTTACAGTGGATGCTCTGTCTGCTTGGAAAGCCCAATTGGTAGACCCATTCAATGTCCTACAGAGTTGGAACTCAACATTTGTCAATCCTTGCACCTGGTTTCACGTCACCTGTAACTCTGAAAATAGTGTTACTAGAGTGTAAATTCTTTTTTTTTAATTGATTTCTGTATTCATAATAAAATTATTTTAATTTCTATCTTCTTAACGTAGTTATTAATTTATTTATTTTTGTTAAATATGATTTGGTTATTGAAGGGACCTTGGCAATGTTGGACTTTCTAGAGGTCTTATACCTCTTCTGGGAAATTTGACCAATCTTCAATACTTGTAAGCTATCCACACTTGTGTCTCACATCATAACATTAGTGTGATCTCTCTATATGTGAATCGATTTCACTTATTCTAAAATAAAATTTAGTCATAAACATCTTTATGGATATGACAATGGTATTTTCAAATATGCAAAATTATATTAGGGTTGAATACTATTTTAATCTTTGAAATATGTCATACATGTCATTTTCGTTTCTAATATTTCAATGGTATAAATTGATTTATTGACTAAAAATAACTTATCAAAAAAAGAAATATTAAAAAATGTTAGTTGATTAGACATTGACATTTTAGAGTGATTAAAGTTGACTTTTTAAGTTTGAAATGTATATGCTCTAATGAGTAGAAGTGTTTTTTTTTTTAAATAAAATAAAATGGGCTTTTGTAGCCAATAAAATGGTTTTTAAGACCAAAGGAAGCCTAATTTGATCCCTCAAAATACAAAATGTGTCTTTATTTGCTTGCCATAATAACAGTGAAAGTACGGGTATTTTAGACATTTCGGCTTCAAAACTGAGGGGATTTCTTCACATCTCCATTCCTAATTCCATCATTAATGGTGACCGGCACCAAGGTTAAGGAAAGAATAAAAATACATTTTGTATTTCTGTGGAGTAACTTGATACAATTGAACGATTGTTGAGTAAAATGAAAAATCTCTTATTTTGGCATCAATTAGTTCAAAAGCTTTAAAACTATTGCACATGAATAAATATGTATCAAATATATGTGCAATGAATTGCAGGGAATTATATGCTAACAACCTCACTGGATAAATTCCATCAGAGATTGGCATGCTAAGCGGATTGATTAGCCTGGACCTCTATAACAATCAACTTTCTGGGTCCATCCCGGCCCCTAGGCAACTTGAAATCCTTGAGATTTATGTAACTCACTCACTCTCTCTCTCTCTCTCTCTCTCTCTCTCTGTGTGTTATATGCTGCTTTGTCAATAATTTTTCTTTATATAATGATTGCAGGAGATTGAACAGTAATGTGCTAAGTGGACAAATACCAGACGGGGTCATTCTACTCATTCAGTTTGGCAACTTGGCTATTATGTGGGTGTTGGCTACATATTTTGTACAAGTCAATTACAATTCGACGCGTGGCAGAATAAGGGTAATACAGAAAAACTACTTAAGTCTTTGATCCTGATCGTACACGTGGCAATTAGTATTGATTTTTACGAGATCTGAGCAGCAGTGAATCAACAAAGAGATGCAAGGTGA